TAGTACTAGTAGCCTACATCCTTGCGACCCGTCACCCCGTGGCTGCGCCCGCGCCAGTGAAGAGACAGACAGCGAGGATGGTTTATGCTCGTCGCACCGCTTGCGGTACTGTATGCTGGGAGCAACAAAATCTTTGCACCAAAGTTGTTTTTGTCACTGAAGGGAAATATAGGCATCGTTCTTCCCACACAAGAAGAGAGGTGCGTGAAACTCCTCTTCGCAGCACCACTTTGGTGCAAGCTAAAAATTTGATCCAAGCTACCGCTAACGTATTATCTACTACGCTAATAGAGTCTACGAAACTCAATGAAGAATGGGTATCGAAACTTGTCGCCCTCTGTTGTGTAGTAAGTCCTTTTAAGGTAAATTTTCAAATTGAGTCTGGTTGTTGGTGCTGCACGAAGTATTTAAAAATCTTTGAATCCTTCTCAGATTGTGAGGATAGTGAGTTGTTAGTATTGTTTCACTTTATTTAAGATTTTATGCGGTTTCATCTAGAAACAGTTGTAAATATCGATAGATGTAGATAACGGGATATCCTGCAGATTCTAACTGACTTTCTCTAGAAATATAGATGAATCACGTTGATCATTTGTATAGATTACGGGATATCCTGCAGATTCTAACTGACTTTCTCAAGAAATATAGATGAACCACGTTTACCCTTTGCTTCTTGTGCTATTCAGCAGGCTACAGATAGAAGAGAAAGTGCTCATAAAAGAGCTTGGTCTCTCAGCCGCGTTATTTTGAGCTAAAAAAATGTTCACTTTTTTCCTGTACGTAGTATGATAAGTAAAAGAAATTGTACTGTTTCCATTACAAGTCTGCTTTTTACTGATCGATCAGACACTGACAAGGTCTGGTCATCAATCACATTCACTGTCTCTGCCTTTCTCTCTCTCTCTCTCTCTCTCTCTCTCTCTCTCTCTCTCTCTCTCTCTCTCTCTCTCTCTCACACACACACACACACACACACACACACACACATACACACACACACACACACACACACACACACACACACACACACACACACACACATACACACACACACGTACAGAAAGACTCGCAGAAAGCAATGGAAAGAACAGACCACACTAGAGCGCCCGCCAACCGCTCATTACAATTTTAATAGTAGCTATTAAGCCTATTGCCGGTTTGTTCACTTTCCAATTATGCACCACCTTGTCTGCAACCCACGCAACGCCACTGATCTGAAGGATGAAATGATTCAGTTTGAAAGACCTAAGTTTCCTCAAAAAGTAAAGTCCAGCCTAATTACACAGGACCATCCCTCAGAAGACAACTACTGTACGCCATATTGGTCAAAACTCAAATTCCACTACGCAGGTGTTATACGTACACGCAAGTTATATATTGCCTTTATTATTATTATTATAATTATTATAATAATAATAATTATTATTATTATTATTATTATTATTATTATTATTATTATTATTATTATTATTATTATTATTATTATTATTATTATTGTTGTTGTTATTATTATTCAAGTATTGTTATATTATCAGTATTGACCTTTAGACCATCTTAAGCTCAAGTGACCGTCTGCATAGACGAAAAGAGCCATACATACAAAATACATTTTTTTTTATTATTATTATTATTAGTAGTAGTAGTAGTAGTAGTAGTAGTAGTAGTAGTAGTAGTAGTAGTAGTAGTAGTAGTAGTAGTAGTAGTAGTAATAGTAGTAGTAGTAATAGTTGTAGTAGTAGTAGTAGTAGTAGTATTTTTTTAAATTATTATTATTATTATTATTATTATTATTATTATTATTATTATTATTATTATTATTATTATTATTATTATTATTATTATTATACGTACGTATACATAATTTGTACTTACTGCATATGATTATTGTCAACATATAAATGTACATTTGGGGGCTTTCGTGGCCTAGAGGTTAAGGTGTTCGCCTCTCATTCGATGGTCTCGGGTTCGAATCTGCGTAGCGACGGGAACATTTTCAGTTTGGGTTGGCTGTTGAGGGAATGTATCTACGTTTTACGCAGATGTTTAATCAATTTTCCAGCATTACTTTATAAGACGTTTTGGGAAAAAAGTAACCACGAGCAGTCGCTTCTAGAGATATCTGATATTTTAGGCTGATTTCATCAAACTTTTCAAAAACTGACACAAAATAAGGTCGTAAATTATATTTCCAAGGAAAAGTCCAAACGTTCACCTAGATACTTGAACTCAGATTTCCCTGGCGAGAAAGAAAAAAGGGGAGGTGAATGAGCTCTGAGGAGAAGGGGAGTTTGATGACGTATTGGCTCTCCTTTTTCGTTGCCCACATCTCCTGCCACCCACTATCCTTCACTCTTTCGTTCCAGAAGAGAGACATGAAGCCAACACCAGGTGAGACATCGCGCAACACGCCGTCGTGTCTGGACGTGTCTCCAAATGGCATGGAGGCGATTGGCTCTCAGAACTTTTCCTATATAAGGGCCGGCTAAGATCTCGTTCTTCACAAGTTACCATCATACATATTACCTAGGACTCACGGTCATACTTTATTAGCAAAGGCTGAATGGTCTAGATCGCTAGAGAAGTCTTCAGACTCAGTGAGCATTGAGGGAAAACGTTCAGTCTTCACCTGCAAGATGAAGCGCCATATACCGTTCTTCTGCATCTCCTTTATGCTTTTTGTACAAGGTATGTCTACAGCTAATTTTTATTATTTTGTGTGTGCTCATCTGTTTGTTCTCCTGTGTCTCTTTACCTGTCCTCTTGTTGCCTCCTTCTCCCTCCTCTTGCCGCCTCCCTCTTCCTTTCCCTTTCTCTCCCCTCTCTCCCTCCCTCTCTCCCTCCCTCTCTCCCTCCCTCTCTCCCCCCTCTCTCCCTCCCTCTCTCCCTCCCTCTCTCCCTCTCTTTCATTTGCTTTATCTATCTATCTATCTATCTATCTATCTATCTATCTATCTATCTATCTATCTATCTATCTATCTATCTATCTATCTATCCATCCATCTATCTATCTATTTATCTCATAAACTAATTGCTTTCGACTTCTGTTTTGGCTCTTTCTGACTCCCTTTCTGTATCCCCACATCGTCACCAATTTTTGTTATATACTTCTCATACGCATATACAAAAACTGTGTGCTTCGTCATAATTTGTATTACACACAACTTATATATTTTACAACAATTAACTTATGCAAACAGAAGTTATAAAGAATTAGTTTGGTTTTCTCTATTTCAGCACAATGTGGATACCTGCAGATGAGGAGATATCAGAAGACCCCTGGGCATGCGTATCGAAATGTTCCCAGATTCGGAACCTTTCTACGGAGACTATCGGAAAGGGACAGCCAACCCTCAGTTAGCGTACATCCCACCGGTCACCATAACAGTAACGGCGGTTTTGAGGCTCATCGTCTTCGCCACTACCGGTCCCACCATCAACAAAAGCACACCCATCCTGAGACAGCTAACGTACACAAAAACTTCAAGAAATCTAAAGGAAGCATTCGACCCAAACTCAACTTCGCAACAATGGACTCCATCATACTGAAATGTTTGAATTAAACAAAAGACATAATGCTTTTTAATCTGAAGTAGTCTATCCCGTACTACGTGCTATGCAAATGACGTGAAAATCCCCCCTCAAGTGGGTTGGTTTTCTGAAACTTCCAAGGCCTTCGCCTGTCCTACCACGAGTGTCTTCTTATGAGCCTTTGTACATTTGAACATGGCCCTGTAGATAGAAAATTATTCTCTTGAATTGTGGGCTGTTGATCTGCTATTTCTACTACAAATGATGATTGTGTGACGTTTGTCCCAAGACACTGTCATTGAGATACGTGTTCAGATTTTCTCACATACTCAAACATTTACACACACACACACACACACACACATACACACACACACACACACACACACACACACACACACACACACACACACACACTCTCTCTCTCTCTCTCTCTCTCTCTCTCTCTCTCTCTCTCTCTCTCTCTGTTTAGATAACAATATGAAAGTTTGGCTTTTTTCACACGACGCATGCACGCGCACACAGTCAATAGAACACGCAAGATTTGAATCATGCTATTATTTCCATGTTCCCAAGACCTAGAGATTTGAAGGATGTAATAAAAAACAATTATCGTACCATCAATATTCTGAAATCTGCACTGATAAAAGCAAACAATCCTTATCGTCAATTAACTGTCATTAAATTTGTAACTCCTTAACTACGAATATACCGACTTAAGCAGCAGCAGATTCTATAACATTGTATTGCTTCAGGCACTGCTGGTGGTACATGTATTCCGGAAGACGTGACATTGGTTATTTAGAATTTTACAAATGGTTTTTATATTGATCCCTTTTGTGTTCTTCATAATCTTTGTGCTTATTCAAAAAATGCCATATATTTTTCTGATCAAATAAATACAAAAACATACTGTTTTACTTTCTTGAAATATCTTCGTACCTTACGTGATATCTAGAGTTTATGTCAGGTTCTGTAACAGTGGAGCTTGTTTGTTTTTGGTTTTGGGGGTTATTTTTTGTTGTTGACTTTGGGGGGGGGGGGGGGGGGGGGCATGTTCTGGCCAAATTTCTGGTGGTTTGCTTCTTCTTTCCTGTTAAACGTCTTTCGTCTTTATCTCCCCTCATTCTGTTTTGGTGTTTGTTACTCTCTTGTAACACCTCTAATCTTCGGTGTTTATATGACCGTATTGTGTTGC